CCCCAAAACCCCAAAACCCCAAAACCCCAAAACCCCACAAAAAATATATTAAATCTAGGTTAAATTAGTAAAGTAGAAATCAATAACAAATTAAATGATAATTAAATCATTATTGACAATCGTCATTTTAGTTTCTATCATACTCATCGATTAATGAGAAGTCGTTTACATTTTGATTGTTTTCGAAGTCTATAGTTCTTTGAACTTCCTCTTCAGTGTTTGAAGCCAAACACCCTTGTGAACTGGTCAAATTATTGAAGTTAATTTAATTGCTAAAATGGTGAGTATTATGAGGGTTATTTGTGCTGTTGCTGCTTAAGTGAATATTAGGGTTAGTAATATTTTCCCCACTGGTTTAATACCTGCTATTCTAGAGATTATAATTATTTCCGTAGATATTGTTTTACCCATTGTTAGCTGATGTCTCATCAAGCAAGTTCCCTTCTGAAATTAAAATCTATGATTAATTATCATTTCTTTCTAATTAATCTTGAGATGTTCCCATTGCACTAAACAAAGTACCCTAGAGGGCAACAATCTCTTGGTCTATATCTGAGATTTCTCCCAATAAATTCTTGGTATTTTCTTAAATGTTTTATCTACTCAAATCAGATGCCAAAAGTACGTTCTTATGCTTTTAGAGATGATTTTAGAAAGAGCTAAATCTAGCAGTCATAGGACTTGCACAGACCTCAAGGATACCATGGATACTCTAATTAGGATTAATCATAGTGTTTCCTCTCTTGTAATTTTAAATTTCATGATGAGTTTCGTGCAAAGCGCTCATATTGGTGTTGTTTAATTTTTAGTCTGCTGCTAAATATCTAATGAAGGAGTCATTAAAGCAGCTCTAATCTTAAGCATTCACTAGAATACTAGTATCATTAACATTTCCTCCTGATGATTTATTCAATTAGTTAGTTCCATAATTTTAAGATATATTTAAGCCTGAATTACTTCTTAATATTACAGAGCCATCATGGTCAAAATTCTCTTGCTATCTTTTGAATATTTCTCCTGGTATTTATGTTTGACTGGGCATTTGAACATAATTCTAGTTTTACAATCTTAGCTACTAAGTAATCTGCTTATTTGCTTTCTTAAGCTGAAGGCTCTATTAAGATATATTAGAGAAAGACCTTCTTAATTATTGTGTATCATTGACCATCTGCATACTAAGACTTTGATATTCAGGACTGATAGGATTTAAGTCATTTATACTTGTATTTGTCATATCCCCACTAAGAATCTGAAGATTTTAAGTGAGAAGTTATGGTGGTAATACAGTAGATTGATGGAGCAATGCAGGCTAAATATTTCCTGTTTAGTGGGCTACTTATTGCATTCTATAAATAGATTTATCTATTCCAGAACCGCAGCTTCTACTACGTTCTTGACTCTAAACAGAATTATTTCTAGCAGAATCATTTATAGTTGATGAAATTTTCCCTGATGGATACTTAGTTGTTGTAAAAAAGTTATTGTCATTTCTAGAGACATCTAACATAGGGATTAAGTGATTTATAGGTATCTATTGCTATTTTTATTAATTCTAAAAATTTTCAATGACACTTTAGAGTCCAGTAATTACTCCATTCTGCTACTAGATAGTTTCTTTACTAATACTTAAGAAGTGCTGAAGCTAGGAATTTTCATCCTATAATCTTTTCAGCTCAGATATCAATCTTTCATTATCCTCCTTCAAGCAATTGAAGAGAGTCATTACTTGTTAATTTTCATTTTAAGTCTAGTTCGATTTAAGTCTACTTTGGAGTTCTTCGTTTTGTGATTTTAAGCTTTTCATATTTTCCTTGAATAGATCAATATTTTCTCTCATTCTTTGTACTTGTTCTTTATACTAATCCACTCTTTTTGAGTGCTCTTACTTTTATTGCTCTAATTAATTTGAAAGTTATTCTAACTATTACTTCTGAAGTTAATCTCTTTAAGTAGATTAATTTAGCTTTAATGCCTTCTCTCTTTCTTATAATTGAGTTGATTGTGCCATTTAAATAATCAACTATTAGAATTCAGTTTTCAATTTTTCATATCTTATCTTTCTCTAGACTCTCTTTCCCTAAGTCACATTGAATTTACTTTAGTTAAATAGGTCCTTAGAGTAGTCAATAGAATCTTAGAGACTTCTAAATACCTTTTAAATGGCTTAGAGATTGTCAGAGTTATTTATCTATTATTTTATCAGTGTCTATAAACTGTCAAAATAAGTTTCCATTACTTCTATTTCTCCAGTTAATCTTTTTACCTTTTTACGAACATTTTCTTGCTCAAGATCAAGTAGTTATTAAGTCTCTTAGCCTATTTGATTATTCTAAGATAAATAGGAGTTTGTAGCAAGTGGATTAGAAGTTAAAGCTGATATGTTTTTAAGATTGGTGCATTCGTTGAATAATCTATCATTTTCATACCGCAATTGCTTAATCTTGTAATCCTTACCATTGGTATCATCTTTGATATCAGTCAGTTCTTTAACTAATCTTTAGATCTAAAGATCTTTCATTTAATTATCATGCTAAAGAGTGGAATGCTCCTTAAGTAGTTGCTGATACTTTTGTTAAGATTTTTAGAATTATTTCTTAATTGTCTTTGAGTCTTCTCTCTTTGTGTTTTCTTAAGTAGATTATTATTCGATAAATGATCTAAAATCATCCTTTGTCATATGAGATGATTCTAGCATAGATCGTTTTAAAGCTTAGGCATCAGCTTCTATTTCATCTAACTTTTAGTTGAACTGATTAGGAGGAATCATAAAAGAGCTATTTGTGAGATAGTTTTCTTAATTTGAGATGTCTAACTTCTTCTTTTTAAGACTTCTACTTTTCTCATTACTTCTCATAATTATGCATGAATAGTTGTTCGTGTTATTATTAATGTTTGAAATATCTGATAAGGTACCGTTCAACTAAAGTTCTTAATTGACTTGATTTAACAGAAATGTTGAATCTTATTCATTTTGGCCATTATTGACTTTTTCAGGTGAATGATTTTTATGCTTCATAATTGGGACATTTTTATTTCCTGACATTTTTACTGTCGATGGTGATTTGTTTGTAACTTGATTGCTTAACTACATCATATAATAATTAGCATTTCTCATTGTAGATAAATTAGAACCTGTTAGATTTCCATTGCTAGCTGGAGTTTTCATACTAGCATATTGATTCTATTGTAGATTTAGGGGCTCATCTTGACACCTGCTCTAGTTATGTGAACTAAAGTTAGAAGGATTTATACTCTGACTATTAGTTGATTATGGCCTGTTACTCTTTGGAACAATAGATTGACTGAGTTCCTTAAATTAAGTGTTTCTCTAAAATGCTGTGTTATTACTTATTGCAGATTGATTACAGTTATTAGAAGTTTAATTGACTTTTGACTAATTAGCATATAGATTATTGTTCGAATTTTGTTTCTTTGGCTTGCTCTTGGAACTGTTTTCTTTGCCTCTAAATGAAGGCTAATTAGAACTCTAAAACAGAACATTATAGCTTTTATTATGTGTCTGTGGTGTATTTTCATTTATAAGTGGAGAATGCTAGCGAGAATGTCTTGACTGCTGATTTTTGTAGTTTGTAGGCTTTTCTATAAACTGACTTTAAAGTTGTTAATTGAGTTTTGTCGAATGATAATTGCCTTCAGCTTAATTCGAAGTTGTAGAAGAAGCTATATTTTGATTTTGATTCGTTTAAAGTCTTTTCATATTTTAAATTTAAATAAAATTATTAAGATTTTTTGAATTCAACATAGCGGGGTTTTGGGGTTTTGGGGTTTTGGGG